TACTCATAAGTGAAATTTTACTTATAAATAATTTTTTTAATCATAATATAATTTTTTGTTTATAAATAATTTTTTAGTTAATATCTTTTTATTTACAAGTTAGTTTTGAATAAAATATGTTGGTTGTAAATAACTATTTTATAAAGAGCCAAATTTGGAGAGAATATGAGAGACGGTTAAAACACGCCGATTGAGAGAATTGATCAAAACTACACTACGCCAATTTTGGGTGAAACCCTAAACCATCTAAAACCAGTGTCCAAAAAAACTAGTAATCACTGATTTTTTCAATCCCTCATAAATACTGCATCAAAAATCAATGAAAATCGGTGAAAAAGAAACGAACTTCCAAACATGCACTTAGGGAAGCCTCCGCACGAGCAGTGATGGGAGGAGTGAAAACGAAGATGATAGCTTGGGTAACTGAACATTAATAGAAATCCAATTCCCCACAAACCTAATGGCAATTCTTTCATCATAACCTTTCTCTACTCTTCTCCTTTATCACCTCCTCGAGATAAAATCTAGGCAAGCTTATCTCTTCCTACCCTAATTCCTTCCAATTAGGGAAATGTAATTGCTCAGAAAGTTCAATTACTCTGTCTCGTTGACCGGGGAAGGGGGGTTGGCTTTGCAGTAGAATGAGAATTGTGGGGGGGCGGGGGTTGGCTTTGCAATAGAATGAGAATTTGTGCCCCCGTTACGTAAGTTTTGACAAATCAAACATGTTAGTCTTAAAATAAGTAATTCGGACTAGTGTTACTGCAATATTTTTAGTTGAAAATCGCCCTAATATTGCCTTTACTCAGCCTCATCTACCTAATGTAATTTTGATATGCTGATCGCGATTGGTATAATCAAAATTTGATATTTTTAAATAAAATATTGATTCTCATTCTCTATTTTTTTTTCGCTACTCTTATTTGCATCATCAAGTATGGATAGTCCAAAGTTGATTAATTTTATAATTTTTAATTAAGTTTTTGAATAAAATAAGTAGTTTTACTCTTTTCTTCAAATGAGGTTCTTTGACCCATCATCGTGTACCATCACTATAGTATCACAAAAACAAAAACAAAAAAATCCTAACTCCACCAATTATATTTCATTGAGGTAGACCTTCGAAATTCTCTACCTACTAGTCCTAGAGTCGTGGTAGAAGGGATAACCATGAATATTGAATATAAGAATTTTTCTACCACACTAAATGGCTGCTAAATTAATCAAAAATAGTTTATTGGATTATTCAAGACGAAAGTCCAATTTGAAAAGGTTGTCTAGTCTGTCATGGGCTAAAAGCAGGATGAAGGAAAATGACTTCACGGCCCACAAGAAATGGACAAGCCTTTTTTTTTTTTGACTAAACAAATGAAAATTTTCACTTATTTATTTCATTTTCATCGGTCAGGTATTTGTTACATTTGGAAATCAACATTTTCCCAGCATGATTTTCAAAATTGTGATAGGAACACTTTTAAATTATCATGTCGAGTTAGAAATATATAAAGAATAGTATCTTTGACTTTCAAAACATATTTGGGAATAAGAGTTTTAAAAAAATAAGGTAATTAATTCTTAGAAAATATTTGTAGGTCATATTAGGAGCTTATGTTCTTATTTGTTTATTAGCTCTTAACTTTTACTAAGAAATATTTATGTCTTACTATTTCATCTATATACCCTATGGAGAACTAAACATATATTGAATAATATTATATATATATATATATATATATATATATATATATAAAAGTTGTGAAATTATGCTTGTACTTGTGGTGACAATGATACTTATATTATCAATGAGCGGCTATTGAGTTTGGAAGTATAGAATTGTGTTACTCAACTAGTTTATCAATTAAGTCACAACAATAAAAACTAAGAAATTTCAAAGTACATAGTGGACATTATTTCAAAATAACGTTAAATATATTTGGCACGTAGTATTAGATATTAGTGCACATCCCGATAATTATTTTGCCGATAGGCTTATCTCGTAATAGGAATTTGAACTTCAATATTAGAATCAATCTCTCAGATTTTAGGGGATTAAAGATTCATCTGGTAAACAGAAGTAGTTTGTTCGATTCGAGTTGCATTATTAGCAATAAGCGGTAATGGTGGCGGTGGCGGTGGCGGTCGCACTAACAAAGGACTGATTAAACTAGTTAAGAAAAGTTTAAAGCATCTCCACCATTCATTCAATTATGGGCTGCTCATAACCCGACAAATCAGACAACTGTTTGCCAAACAATCTGGTGCCGTTAAATAAAATGGTCCCACAATAAAGTTTTTGGCTTTTCAATTTTCAAATGACAGCACAATTCCCATTTATTGATATCCAAAAAATAAAAAATAATGGGAAATATGCACTTTTGTCCCTAATCTTTGCGAAATCTAACAAATATATCCTCAACTTTATTTATTATTATTATTTTTTAAGCATAGTCCATTACCAACAATTTATTCTCTTCGTCATGGTATTAAATAACTGATTCACCATCATTTTTTAAATAAACAAAAATAAAGAAAACTATAAAATAGAAAAAATTAGAAAAATTATAAATGGAGTTTCATAACTTTTCAAAAAGTACAGATAAATTTCATTAAAACAATTAAATGCATATTGATGCTCACATAAAAAAAAGAAATTAGAAAAAATAAACATCCCTGGCAAATCTCACACACCCACCTAGGAGTCTGGACCGACATTGAGAGTTTTGAGGCCCCTAAACGACTATTTGTTATGAGGCTTATATATAAGGACTTGTTTGACATGCTCCAAATTTCATGGAAAATTAAATTTCATTTCCACCCAAATGATGTGTTTGATCATTGATGAGCAAAATTTTCCATGAAATTTGTTTTCCACTCAACCCCCATGTGACCCCCTTCAGTTTAGCAACATTAAATATTTAAATAAATAGCATACTTATATTAAAGGGTTTGAATGAAAGGAATTATGGAAATATTTTAAATATTAAAATAATTAAGGCAAGTACGTACGATTTTTAAGGCCATAAGCCATTGCTTTAGTGGCTTTGGTCCAAGGCTGGCTCTACACCCACCCTTAACACGATAAATAATTCTATTTGTATCGAATTGGTAATGCTGAAAGTTGTCCTCCCTTTCACATCGCAGGCGGGCCCCATTTGAATATAAAAATTCCCAAATGTTGTCCCCATTCGTTATTGTGAATAATAGGTAAATGATTAGATAAAAAAAAATTATATACATGTAATATTCTCCTAACACGGTATCATCTCACACACACACAAAATATGAGACCTACCATTATCTTATTCACCATTATAGGGATGGCAACGGCACTCCGTCCCATCTCGCCCCAACCCCATCCTGTCATCATGGGAACGGGGCAACTTTTTACCTCGTTTAATTTATTTTTTATTTTATTTTTTTAACGCAAAAATTCCCTTAACAAAAATTTTTAACAAAAAATTTGATATTATTGAACAAGTTCCGTTGGTCAGCAGTTTTTAACAGAAATATGTATATTTGTGTTTTTGTTTAATGTTGTAAAGTGAATTGTTGCACTTAATGAATGAATGTTAATTGATGTTGAAAAATTCACTTAGCCAACCATTGATGTTTTATAGAAGAAAACTAAGGAAAATGGTTCGATCTTACAGCAATGTGCATAACCAAACCAGAAATTATTGCTAATTTATGACTGAAACCTGGTGTTATATTCTGTAGAAAGCACAAATGGAATTGGTTGATATAGTGACACAAGACTTCATGTTATAATACTATAAATTAAAATACGATTATACAAATTCAAAATGAGTTTTTAACGGATGAATTTTTTAGAAATAAAATAATTTTTAATCTCCCCCCCCCCCTCCACGGGGCGGGTTCGAGCCCTGCCTTTCCCCGTCTTGCCCAGCCAATACGTTCGGGGTGGATTTTGTTGCCATCACTGTTCACCAATTAACTTATTATTGGTGCTTAGGAGATTATAAGCTAAGTACAAATTGCATATTAGGGGTTTAAGATTCTCAGAACCAAATCTCTACGATCTAGGTTGCGACTTTGTTCATGCACGGGTGGTGGAGGACTGTGAGGTGCCGGGTGTTAGTTCTGCCACTTGATGGTTGGGATATATGTTTGGAAAAATATACTTTTTTATTAATTTTTCTCAAATGATGGTGGTGGTGCCGCCTCCATCGTTGTGGTAATTGCATTTATGGAGATAACCTTTTGTCGTGGTGGTGACGGGGTTCGGGGTTGGAGTTTAAGTAGGAAAGACGAAATGTCTACTTTCTCTTAAAAAAAAATAAAAAAATAAAAAAATAAAAATAGTGTGGTATTTAATTCTTTTAAGTCGGATTTATTTTTTCTTTTTGAAAAGTTGCTATTTGCAATTTTCCCTTTTTTCTGTTTTATTGATTTCTGCTATTATTGTTTTTTTTAAAGATGAGGATAAATCTGTCGCCAACATGGGGAATGATGAGATCTGATATATACTCCAAACTGAAAGATCAGGATGTATCATGTTAAAAAAAGATGTTTGGTATTGGTTAAAATCATACATTTTATGGGACTCATAACTTTTTAATCACAAATTTCATCAATTTTTATTATAATATATTAAAAATCTAATTTTAATTTCCACAATACACGAGTTCTGTATAAATTTGTTACATTTTGCAAAGATCGAGGATGAAAAGTGCGAATTTCCTTTTATCAATTTTACCATTTTTATTCGATTTTCTGCATCATGAGTTCAAGGATTTCCACTCACTCTTAATGACAGATCATCAATCATGTGAAATAAACCAGCTTTTGTTTCTTTTTACATGGGTAGGGATGAGTTGAGGTGGGGGTGGTTTTACTTTCTTCAGTGCTTGCTTTGAGCCTTTATGTGGTTGTTGCCAACCATATCATTCCTTTCTTTTCAGTTTGTACCTTTATTTTTCTCGCTGAATCTCTGCAAACAGATATACAAATATCAATCTTTTGTTTACTAAAACTCTTCCATGGCTAGTGAAACTGTTGTATCAGATCACTCTACACCCTCTGAGGTATTCTACCTTTTCTTTTTCTTTTTTCTGTTTCTTGAATTTATGGGATAGTTTCAAAAGATTTTTCTGTTTCTGGGCTCATCTTACTTTGATTTCTAGTATCTTATACCTTCTGTGTAATTTTACTTGGTGATCCTTTTGGCTGTAATAGAGTATTGAGGAAGACTTTCAATTTAGTTTATGCTTTTGAATTCAATGAAACTTTAACTCCATGCTGATAGTTCGTTTAGTAGTAATTCTTCAAGGTATAGACTCAAACAGAAACACGAGAGTTTATCCAGAAAGTACTTTTAGCTTTATCCAGTTAGATTTGGCATAAAAACAGTGTGGCAGAGGAAATTTATATTTCTGTTTTCAGATACCTGTAATTGTGTGATTTATCTATTTTCTGCTTAAGAAGAAACTCCAAGCATATTCAGAACTACAGAAATGATCAACAATATACTTTTCACAGTAACTTCACACCATGATGCGTCTCGTGAGGTGAATTCTATGCTACTGTAAAATCTTTTTTATTTTACTGTTGAATCATGTGGAAACTGCGAAAAATTCAATTTTTTTACTTTCGTTGTAATGTTCAATAAGCTCTTGATGAGGGTTGAGGATACTGGGAAAGTATGACACTGTCTAATCAGTTTTTTGCTTTCTTTGTTTAACTTTTCCTTCTTCGAACTTCCTTTTCTTTACTCCGATTTTAGCTTAACGGCGACCTTTTTAGAATACAGATGGACTTATTTTTACTGTTCTTAGATTTATTTGTGTCTAATTCGTTTACTGCAGCAAGTTGAGAAAGAAGAGGTGAAAACTATGGAACAGGATAAGGTTCCTCCACCTAAGGAAACAGTGGAATACCCAAAAACAGAGGAATCTCCATGTCTAGCAGACCCTTTGGCTGAAACAGAAGCTAAGCTTGAGGAAAAGCAAGTTAAACCTCCTGCGAAGGCCGAGGACTCACCTGAAGAACAAAAGATTGAAGATAAGACGGTTGAGCTTCCTCCGACTGAAGAAATAAAGAAAACTGAGGATACTCCCATGATTGAACCTTGTGCGGAAGCTAATCTAGAAGTGGCAAGAAGTACTGCGCCTGAATCAGATACACCTGACATTTCAGAATCAACGCCTGAGACTGTTAAATGCCAATCAGAGGAGAAGTCGAAAACTGGGAGTGATGAAAAACCAGAGAAAGTGGAATTTGTTGGAGAAAAGCCAAAGGAGGTGCCTGAGATTGTAGATGTGGTTGAACCAACATCAGTTGAGGCTGTTGCTTTGGTTGAATCAGAACCAACCGAAGATAAGCCGTTTGAGCAGCCTCCAACTGAAAAAATAAAGAAAACCGAGGATACTTCCTTAGTGGAAGCTCCTGGTAGAGATGATTCAGAAGTGGCCAAAGATACTGTGCCTGAACCAGATGCAGCCAACATCTCAGAATCAACACCGAATGACGTTAAATGTCAGTCCGAGGAGAAGTTGGAAACTGAGGCTACTGAAAAAACAGAGGTGGGATCTAAAGTGGAGTTCGTTGAAGAAAAGCCGAAGGAGACGCCAAATATTGTTGACATGGCCGAATCGACACCAGTAGAACAAGTAGAAGCTTCAAAAGATGAGTCTATGTGTGAAGAAATTTCAAAGCCAGCTCCTTTGGAAGAGGAGAAACCAGCAGAGCCATCTGAAGTTACTGAACAAACTGATAAAGAACCTCCAACAGTCGAGCTGGCAGAAAAAGTTGAGGTTGAAACTCCAACTGATAAAGCTGAGGAGATCGTGGTGTCGAAGGAAGAATGTTTGGATGAAGTAAAGCCAGATGTTCCAATAACTCATGTCGAAACAAAAGAAGTGGAAATCTCTCCGACTGAAAAGATAGATGTTGAAAATGAAGACAAGGGATCTGTCAAGGAAAGCAATGTGCTAGAGGGAATATCAAAAGAAAAAGTTGACCCCGGAAAGATTGAAGTAGAAACCGAACCCCCAAAACTGAAAACTGAAGATGAGAATAAAGAGAAATGCGTTGTAGCTGAGGAATTGGCTAAACCAGAAGCAAAAGACGTTGAAACAAAAGAAGCGGAAATATCTTGCGCTGAAAATACAGATGTTAGAAATGAAGAGAAGGAATCCGTCAAGGAAACTGTTGTGCTAGAGCGAATATCAAAAGAAAAAGCTGACCTCGGAAAGATTGAAGTAGAAACCGAACCCCCAAAACTAAAAACTGAAGATGAGAATAAAGAGAAATGCGTTGTAGCTGAGGAATTGGCTAAACCAGAAGCAAAAGATGTTGAGGATTCTTCTAGTTCCATTACTAAACCTGAAGAAAAAGATGTTGGAAAGGAAATTACTTCCAAAGACATTGAACAGGTTGCTGAAAATGGAAGAAAGAAAGACGAGACTATTGCTTCTACTGAAACATGCAAAGATGCTTTGCTCAAAGGGAAGGTGGATGAAGAAGAAACTAAGGACGCCGAGAAAGTTGAATTATTATTATTATTATTATTATTATTATTATTATTATTATTATTATTATTATTATTATTATTATTATTATTATTATTATTATTATTATTATTATTATTATTATTATTATTATTATTATTATTATTATTATTATTATTATTATTATTATTATTATTATTATTATTATTATTATTATTATTATTATTATTATTATTATTATTATTATTATTATGAGTTATCTCATTAGAAAGATCAAAGTCCAACTTCGAAGCAAAAACCAAAATATTTTAAAGGCTCGTTTGGCAGGATTTTTGAAAAGTTAAAAGTTATTTTTGAGACTAAGAAGCTATTTTTAAATATGATTGAAGAATTTTCTAGAAATGTTTTATCGGACTAATAAAACTTTTAAAGAAAGCTGACCCAAGACAACTTCTTGAAGAAGCAGAAGTCCTACCAAACTGGTCGTTAGACAATTACCATACCCTACTTCACTTCAACGGAGAAGACATGGCATGGCATATAACATGGCTCAATCTAAAATTTTGTACACTCACATTTTTACTGATAAAAAGAAAGATTCTTTACTTAAGCATTTTATAAATATGAAGATGTGCATATAAAATCTGAAAACTGTGTTAAAATTGCTGATACATAAATGAATACATCTGCAAAGTAGACTCTTCTATCACTGATACAACCGCAGGAGTCATGTTGAATAATATACATATTTAAAGGGGCGGATAACAGTTTCTCTTCAAAATAGAAAAAACCTGTGCATTTTGTTGTTTACAGTCCTGGAGTTCAAATTCAGAATTAAAAAGGTTATTGTTATAATTTCACCTCGTTCAATGTTCTATAAAAGCCGTCTTTTCATAACTATAGCCATAAGATTTCTGGCACAGAACTAAGAGCTACCGTGTATCAGGAGGAATCCCTTCCATGGCATCAATAATATTTCTCGTCGTTAATCACAACCTGCGTTGACATAAAAACTCTTGATTTAACTGATTATAAATAAAATGCAGTGCGCATGTAAATAAAGGCCGTGTAATGAGCTTACCGTCGTTTGTGCTAATAACAGTTGCATTGGTAGCATCTGTGCTCATGCTAACATTTGGTCCTAGCTTATTCTCTTGCACCTCGCCAGGCTTATGTAGAACCTCATTTGTTGGTTGCAGCTGAAGTGGAAACAGAGTAAATGGGGTAAGACAAAATGAAGACGGCAACTGAATTAAACCTGAAAAACTGTTGAACTAGAAGCTCCCTAGATTGATTGAACTTGTGCATATGATGCTTTGTTCGTTCGAGGGGAATAATCAGTTATTACAGGGAAACAGGGACATGATGCAAGTGAATAATTCTGTTACACAATTGTTGAGCGTTCCCTTCACTTCCTACACGTATCCAATTATAGAAGATGTAAATTCTCCATCTCATTCCCTTCCTTTTTTGTCCATAGGACTCAAAATAAGAACCCAAGGGACAAGGTCAAAACGTTATTTATTCTAATACAATTTCAAAATTTATGAAATAAACTAAAAGTAAAATGACAGTTGGACAACAATACAAGTCTCATTTCCAGAAGCACCTAACTCGTAAAATAAAAGGACAGGGTAAGAAACCAGAAGAACATGGAAATGAATATGGTATCTCATAATTGCATAAAACTGGGCCGCAATTAGGAAATTATATTGGTTACGCGTTCCTTAAAATAACTCTTCATAAGACTGGGCTGCAATTATTTATACACGTGTATCAGTGGCGATTGAAGTGATATCAAGTAATATCTATCAACATCTACTCTTTATCTTTAAGTAGTAGAGGAAAAGAGAAAATAATGACCTATGTAGCACGGACACTCTAACTAGGGCAGCGCGTCATGTCGGACACGTATCATACCGACACTCTTTGGACACTCTATAATAATCATTTTTCTTTCTTACTATAGTTATTATATATTTTTAACTCAAAGTTATTAGTAAATAACAAATAAGTACTCATATTTAAAAGATTTTAACAAAAAAAATCAATAATAAGTATAAAACTAAATTTAAAATATATAAATGAAGAATTTTAGAGAATTTAATGAACGTGCCGACGACGTATCGTGTCGGTACTTTTTTTGAAAAATCACGAGTCGACGTATCCGACACGTATCGCGTCGAACACACGTGTCCGTGTCGGTGCATCATAGATAATGACACCCATCACTCAATATAGTAGTACAATATAGTATCCCACTAAGTAGTGAGGTTAGGCCAATTAAGCATAGTATGACAACTTGTTGTAACTTGTAAAGAAACTCCAAGTTCTCAGGAAGAAGAAGAAGCAAAGGACAGAGGAAGAGTAATGGAAAGGTATAAGATGGAGAAGGAATGAGACTAGCAGAGCAAGGCACTCAGTTTTTTTTCTTTTTTTCTTTTTTTTTTTTTTTTGGGCACATGAGTACCAGAATGGGTGGGTCGTTGATCTTATTCGCTCACTTGGCCCATGGATCTGCAAAATATACCCGACAGCTAATTCTTTGGTTTTGAATAATATCATAGCTCAAGTTTGAGCATACAAAAACCTCAAGAAGTCGCACATTAGTATATATATGAATAGTTTAGTGGAATTTCAATTGGATGAACTAGCCTAATTGCAGACCGTTAGCTTCCTTCTCTGTTTGCCGCTATTGTGCCATGTCATGCATGCTCTAAAAAATACGATAAAACTACCTATTTTGCCAGATTATAATGTAACACGATTTCAGGTATTAGAAGTGACAATAGAGAAATAAATTAGTAAGAAGAAATGATAGTCACTTATGACTTAAAGAACCGAGCTTCAGGAATTCATGCAAAGCCCAATACTTTTAAATTTCATTCTTTTTATATATCACTCTCTTCTGTGAATTATCCTATACCTGCTTCAGGTTGGTCCATCTGAAACTCAGAAAAAAGAATCGATAAGTTACGAAAACCACAAATTCAAAAGAGGGAAGAAATTTCAATGCAGCCAAGGAGTATTGGACAACCTAGCTAGCTATTTATCTAATGTTCATCAAGTAACCAAAAAAATTGTCATGAATCATCATTTCATAGCATTCAAATTCTACGACAATTTCTATTTTCAAGAAAATTTGCCTTACCAAGTGATGATTTCTCTGAAAATAAAAAGAACAAGAGAAAACAAGTAACAAGAACAAACCTGATTAGATGTATGGTTCATTGTGCTGCTAGCTTCAGCACTGTGCATCAGCTGTGAATTCTTGTTTCTAACTGGATCCTCAGAGTTCGTGGTCACAGATATACAAGGCACATTCATACGACCTCCAGCCACTGAGGTATTTAAACCCACGGCAGAACTTAGAGGGCGACCAGGTAAAGGAACCAAGGGTGCCAGTGGGACTGAGCCAGGAAGTCCATGACTGGGATGCCCAAATACCTGGCTGTTAGAACCAGCAGTTCTTGGAAAATTTGAGGACCCTGGCATTGGAGAAGAGAAATGTGATCCTTGTATGGGAGGTACTGGAAAAATAGGATATCTGGGAGTTCCACCATTCATGTCTAGCATACCCATCCCAAAACCCATTCCCATTCCAACACCCATGGGAGAGAAATGAGGCATGTGAGCAGGATGTATGTGTTGCATTCCTGTGGGAAACATCATTGGTGACATACACAACCCGGCTCCCATTGACATAATCTGCTCAAAGAGGAATGTGCAGGGATTGTAACGGTATCCATAAACATACCTAAACCATAGTGGTTAAAGTGAATACATTCCTGTGATTTTTCAATTGTATGTAATTCTCTCCATTCTTGTCATACTTAGACGAACAAAAATGGGAAGTAAGACGATGTAAAGGCGGATTTTCAATAGTTTGAAATGAAAAATACTATGAAATATCACTTGAGAAGCTTCACCTTACCTGTACCTGAAGTTGAAGGGTCTTGAGATATTCAATGGCTTCATCGAGCATTGAAGCTTTATCTGCCTGTTTATAATGGAGGAAAAAGAAACAGTTGCAAGCATTATCTACTTTGAAGCAGAAATTCGAATGAAGTAATCTAAAATCCTGTTGGAGGGAGAAATTAAGAAGATCAAAAGAATGGATGGGTTGAGTTCATAGACCAAAAGCTTATCAAATTAACTCACTCATTTTTAGCCCCTAATTGATATTTTAACCTGGAAGGCTTCATCTTTTAAGTAAAAAAGATCACTAAGAATTCAGTAGACTGTATTATTACCTTATTGCAGTTGGGTAAAAGTTCTTGTAATGCACGCATTTTTTCATTGATCCTATCCCTTCGCCTCTGTTTACACATGCCATAAATGGGATGATCAATGTATTATTCTAAAATGGAAAAACCACATCACATATACAATATGATTCCATATATGGATCCAAATTTTTACTGCTCACTCTTTCAGAAAGATTGTGCACTTCTGCAGCTCGACTTCTCTTGGAACCGGTACCTCCTCGAGCAGAAGTTGCTTTTTTAAAATTGATTGACTCAGTTTCAATATCCTGCATATAGAATGGTTAGATAAATTGGAAAAAAAATAAAATCAAACAATGATATTATAAATGTGCTTGTTCTGCATACATACATCACTATGGCAATCAGACTCCTCAATGTCATGGAATTTTCTCTTGCAATTATGCATCTGATCGCATGAAGCTCTATCAGCATAGTTGCCGGAGCCTACAGAAGAAGAAGCAACCACAGGCTCAACAGTTTTCTCACTATCTGGAACTCCATTACTTGCATTGGGAGCATCACTTCGAATCAGGGACTTGTGGAATTTAACAAAAGTTTCTCGGTGTAAACCCTCAGTTTGTTCGGCAGGAACCGCCTCCTTAGGTGGCTTGGATGCTAATGGTCTTGAATTGAGTTTGTTGCATACATTAGTAGATGGAAAATGGAAGTCAATATCCTTTTCTGTACTATTCAACCGTTTAATGAGTGTGGATTTGACAGGATTGCCATTATTGGCAGCAGAACATTTCTCGTTAGTTTCCATCATTTTCACACCTGATGACCCTGAAATAGGCATTCCATCAGTGTTTGGAAAATTAGCTCTGATAAGAGCAGCCGGTCTTGAGAAATGGGAAAAGTTCAACAAATTTGAACCACTACTGGGAATCTCTACATTCCGTCTCTCCATCTTTACACTGTCATCATTTCCAATTGCTTGACCTCGGGCTGAATTTCCAATAATAGCATCTGGAATGTTATTTGTATTATTGCTAATAATATCTGAAACTCCAGATCCCAGGGATGGATCTGATGTCTGGCCTTGCTGAGAAAGCCATGGACCCGAAAGGTGAGCTCTAGAAGAAGAAACCTTCGATGCATTCCCATCATTATGCAAAATATTTTCTGACTGGTCAAAACTACTTCTCTTGTTAGTTTCAAAGCTCGATTGGGCAGACATTCCATTAGCCGTAACACCAGATATTTCAGGTAAGAGTTCAGAACAGTACTCCTGCGGCATACCATCATCTATGGGATAATTTAACCAAGGAACTATTTCATCATCTTGACTTACATCCAATTCTCCCAAGGGCACCATAGGTGAAATATCATTCAAGATAGATTCAACTCCACTAAATTTTCCTATCCTTGATGTGGAGGAATTTCCTATACCTGCATCTTGAACTCTTGGCAAGTGAGATTGTAAATTGTGAATTGAAGAGTCTTTTGTACCTCTACTAGACTGACCATGCATCAAAATCTGACCATTCTCCCAAACTAGCTCAACCAACTCATTCTCAACTCTGCATGCAAATCCACCAATATCTTATTATATCACATTAATATACCCAAAATAAACTACACAATTACGAACTCATTCATTTCAACAAGCATAGTAGGGTAAAATAATACCAAAACTATTGCACAAGTAAGCTCACCGAGAAGCTACATCATTTTGGCATTTGTTCAGATCACCGGAAACAAGATTCCCCCTAGCCATTCTCAGAAACTCGGAGAGGGGCATGATGGAAAATTCATACAATTGAAACCTAGAATTGCTCAAACTCTGCAAAGATGCGTACTATTAGGACATGATACTGTGTGTTTTCCTAGATCCACCGATGAAACAACTCCTATCACGGTCCAGATGAACTCAAATTAATGACATCAGTACAGCACTAACCGACGTACAGATGAACACCTACAAAATTTCATGACATCAATAATTCACAAAACACTCGGCTACATGACAATTTTCCAGCTGAGTTTCAGGATATGTATAAAAATAGGAAACAGAGAAAGATAATAAGCACAAATATTTATATATGTAAGCACCGAGCATGTATGGCTTCAATTAGTAACGTCTTAATCCATAAATTTATATAAAATCCAGACCAGGAGTAAAAATATTATTAATTTTCAGTCAAAACCCAATTCTTTAATAGTTGAGAATAATCTAATCTAAAGAAATTACCAAATTGTAGTTGTTTATATATATATATATATATATAATCAATCTTTTTTATTCAAATTCAATCATTAAGAGATAACCCACATGACGTTTCCTAAATTTATCAAAAACCCACTGTTCATTAACTTAATCCCTTTTACCACAAAGTAAAATATACTCGAAGAAACGCAATAAGAACCACACCTCTTTGATTAGCTCAAAGAAAGGACAAGCTGTCAACAGTAATTAGTTTGCAACTCCCAAAGATGCAAACTTTGATCCTGAATTTTTTTCCAATACCCAAAAATCTTCCAAGATTTTCTCTATGAAATCCCTTTCTCACTGCGGCCAATGATGATTTTTCTTGAACCCACCAAAAATTTTGCTAATCCAAATGTCTTATGCAGATTTTTTTTTCTTGTGAAAAAAGTACAATCTTCACCAGCTAGCCACACTTGATTTTGAGCGAGAAGCCTGTTTCTTGAAAATATACAGATGTAGAGAGCAGAAGGAAAAAATATAAAAAGGAGGGAGAATATAGGGGCTCGTAGAAGGCGGCGAAAGGCTTGCAAATTAGAAGTGGAAGGTGGTATAAGAGCTTTTGTGCCAAATGATTAACACACTTTAAACTTTAACCATAAAAATAAACAGAACTTGTCAATTTCTTATTCTATTTTCATTCATCAGAATTTTGTTCGTGATAGGTTCATGTTTCGAAATATGTGCATTGTGGAGAACAAATTGCACTGAAAATAGTTTTATTTTTGTATTTTTCTGCACTATTTCAATGTGTGGGCCATTGTAAGACAAACTGTTCTGTTACATCTTCATCTTCTTAGGACGGAAGGACACTACTGTTTGTCAGCACCATTTTTCCGTATAATTATTTGATTTTAGCTATTACTAGGTTACTGTTTTTGTCCAGAGCATATTTGGTATGAATCAAAATATGATTTTAATCCAAATCAAACTACCAATATTAACTATATTTTTTATGATTCCAATAACTTTTTAACTATACATTTTAAAAACTTTTATCATAATATACTAAAAAATTTAATTTTATTCCTCACCAAACATCCACTTAAACAATGAGTTATGCTAGCCACTGTGCTCTATTCATTGGCATCGGTGGGCATAGCCGTGTTTGATTTAGTTAAAAATTAAATTTTAGCATAAAAAGTTGATAAAAAAATAGTTAAAATGTTAATAAAAATTATTAATTTTAAATATATGTAATTAAAAAATAAATATTAGAAAATGGGGCAAAACTCAAAATAGGGGCTTACAAGTATGAATTCAAAATTTGGCTAAAGAGTCGAATACATCTGCTTAAGCTTGTAGATGAAATAACATAGATTTTAATTCTTCTCTTAAAGCATTTTAGTACATACTTTTTTCCATTTGACAAGGCTTTTGAATAGTCAAAAATTAAGTTTATATCTGTCTTATTGAATTTCTTAAAGTGTCCTATTGACTTAGAAAAAGTGAGCTCTTCTGCAAATTAAGAGGTCAAAGCAAAAGTTATCTGAAATAGGCCCTTGATGTTTATTGCCCTTGTTTGAGCTACGTTATTTTCATAAGAATATATTTTTGAATAGTATATTGATGAAAAAATTTATGGTTAAACAATAAAAATAAAAATAAAAAATCTTGAATTTGCGTGTAATATTATTTTATTAAAAAAATGTGTGGTTGAAATTATGTCAAATCACTGTTTAAAAATATATTTTTTTGAAAAAATATGGCTCAAATAGGGCCATAATTGGACTTGATTCGACAATATAAAAAAAGAAAAAAATCATGTTAGCAATACTATCCATTAAAAAAATTTATGGTTAAACAATAAAAATAAAAATAAAAAATCTTGAATTTGCGTGTAATATTATTTTATTAAAAAAATGTGTGGTTGAAATTATGTCAAATCACTGTTTAAAAATATATTTTTTTGAAAAAATATGGCTCAAATAGGGCCATAATTGGACTTGATTCGACAATATAAAAAAAGAAAAAAATCATGTTAGCAATACTATCCATTCCCCCTCTAATTTCACTAGAAAAAGAAACATAAAACTAGTAGCTTGTTTGGGAGTGATTTTTTCCTTCAAAAAAATTTATTTTTTGACCGTTATTCTACTATTACAGTCGTCATATTTGACTTATTCTTTCACAGGTGGACCCCACTTTTGTCCTAAAGATCAAAAAATCAATTTTCAAAATCATTCCCAAACAGACTATAGATGTATTAGAAATTTTACAAAGGTAGTGATATTTGTTGTAGAGAAAATCTGATGTCTCAAATTCTTCAGATGAATCTTGTTCCAGTTGTTGAATAAGGTACGGGGCATTTGGTCTATTCTTAATTTTGAGAAAATTAGGTTCAACAAAATTATCCTCTTATTTTTTCTATTTATTTTTTTTCAAAATAATTATTATCCCCTCATAATTTTGATATGTTATCCTAATTCCGGCACAGCATAAATACTATACCATCTATAATTCCCACAACATGATTCTACATTGAGCATGTTTGGCTAAGCTTAACGTTAAAAAGTAAGTTTACTTATTTTGACAACATGCTTTTGATTTCTTATTAGCTTATCTTGACAGTATACTTCATAGTTCATATTACCAAGATAAGCCTAAAAATGCCAATTTTTGTTTCTTCTTTTTAGTTGAGTCCCAACATGCTTTCACTTATTTTAATTTCAATTGGTAAAAAAATATTTATTTTAAAATTTCCTTATTTATTTATAATTTACATATTAGACCATCATTCCTTTTTTTCTACATATAATAATATACAATTATTTTGTTTTTTACAACTATATCAAATGAGTATTTTATCTATGCATATTTTAATAAAATTACATCACAAAAGCTTGGGGATAGCAAAAAAATAATAATAAATAAATAAATAAATAAATAACTCATTTAACTTGATACCCGTGAACCTCGCCTCGAATGGGGCTAAGATTACCCGTCTAACTAGGTAAACCGGGAGGGGACAGGACTAAGTCGTTGCCTCGAAGTGACGATGAGAAACATAGTCCCCACCTTTTCACCCATCACATTAAAGTTAATTTCAAATCTAAATCTTTTATAAAACAAAAATAAAATATTTATCATCATTTTTAAAGATAACATGAGTTGTTTTTCGGAAAATATCGATCCATCTCTGCTAAAAGTTTTTTACATCCTTCGATAATAATTATCAATATTATTATTCCACTCTACTATCTTTTACAATAGTAAATAATAACAAAACACGATTTGTGGAAAGTGATACTCTGAAAAAGATAAATAAATCTCGAAAAGTAACAATTAATTAATTAAGGTGAGTAAACGGTCACAACGACTCCTTTATTATATTTTGAATAAAATAACCTCAATGCATCTGAATAGTCTCTACCTTCTTTTCCAGGACACAATTATTTATTCTCATCAATTTGAGATGGTCAAGATCATAAGTGACTTTACCGTTTTAGATTAAGGGATATAATAATCAATTATTGAACTTAATGGAAATAGATTTTTTAAAATTCATTTCTTCCAAACTTATTTTCAATTATGCATCTTCCCATAAAATAGTTTTGCACGTGAATTCATAATTTTTTTCCTACTTTTTAACTATACGTTACAAAATATATTTTTGAAAAATCTAAATCAAATAGGGTTTTACTAAAATAATTATAGAAACATTCTAATAACAACGAACATACTTATGGTGAATCTAATTAATGGATAATGGCATAATATTTTGGTCCTTGAAAGATAAAGGTTATCAAGATTAGTTTCTAATCATGATAAGTTATTACTTCATATAAAACTCCAATTATTGTGTCAACAACATGTTAGTCTCACTAATTTATGGTCAACTTGGTGAACAATTTTTATTATTCTATCAAATTGTTATCGCAAGTAATGATTAATAGACATATCATGTACTTGTTTTGCTTTTGATTATCCTTTCTTCTTATCTAGTCTTCAAGATAAAATCAACATGAGCATCTTAGGAGTACGTAAAACATTCCCAACTACATTAAAAAAAAAAAAGGTTGAACCCCAATCTTGAGGAACCTCACCGTCCCGTCCTTAGAGCTATCTGTACATTGCGCCTACAAAGAATCCAATTTTATGATTCAGGAATCGAACCTCCACACTGCGACTGTCAGCAATGTTTGAGATAACCTCACTCCCGTCCTTTGTACCACAGGGTTATGCCCCGGGGGGCAACATTTCCAACTACTTAAGCGCACCTTCCTTAATTCTTCTTAATTGACTCACCTTTGATTAGTAATAATCGAGGTGTATCCTGGTATTTGTATAATAAAAAAATTTTTGACTACCCATTTCTTCTAATCTAGCCCCTATTTGGCACTAGATTTTTAAAACTTTTTTTCAAAGTGGGTGTGGTGAATTTGTATCAATTGCACATAAAAAAAGTAACATTCTCTAGTTGCTTAGCCACTAAAAAAGCAAGAAAGTGAAGGAGGTCTCATCTCAAAAAACAGGGAAAATTGAGAGGGATGTTACATGAATTGAGGACAAGAGATCGAGTGAGTTATCTATATGGGTCCTACTAACCTCCAACTATTTATTGCTCTCTACGTGGACCCTCTCATCAACAAGATTGTGATTTGGTGCACTTGGTGTTTATCTCAGAGGATTCCCCACCGCCCATACTCCTATTTGTTTGGTGCATGTATGAAGTTGATGGATAATTTGATTTCAGCCAGCCAGCCAACCCGACCCGAGAAACATCCAACTGTTTTGGAAACGTCTTATTTATTGGATTCATGCCACCCGATGTTGTTCATGTCATGTGCACCTATTTATTCCCAATAATATGATACTACGTCTAGTGAGTAAGCACCCTAGAAAGTATAATTAGAATGGAAAGCAAACTCAAGTAAGACCAACCTTATAACAAAATGATTTGAACTCACAAGAGAGCTAAAACCAATAGAAGGCTGTAAACGATAAATACTAGGAGTCACATGGGATTTATTTAACTAAATACGAGCTCATCGAGAGGTAAAGGCCTCAAATCCAAGTTGTAGTGAGCATCTTGTAATTGACTTATGGGCTAATAGGTCACACTTTGGCCAAGTAGAGACTCTCGAGAGCCAAGAGTATTAAAGGAATGGCCCGTAGGAATTCGACCAATCGCCATCAATGTTAGAAGATAGATCAAGATTCGTGGGAATGATATCCTTTTCCAAGAAGAGTAAATCGAGCTATTAGATGAATGAATAGGTTTAAGCCTTTATTCGCTAAAATAAATTGAATAGAAAGCAATAATCTAAAACATTGATACTATCCATTAGAATAAAAAATAATTCCATGTCTATTAACATCAATGTGCGCCACTATGTCCTTATGATGCATGATCTGTCTTATGATATAGAAATGGGGCCACCCGCTCTCTACCCTTGCATGTGCCCTTTTTGCTTTAGAAGGTATCAAAGTGGAGTTTTGGGTTTTTTTCCTTTCAATGCTAATTCTCTTCTTTTTGTACTCTGTCAATGCTTGACGATGGTAGTGGAGCGATTTCTACACTGTCTTTGTTGAGGAGCACTCAAGGATTGATCAGATCTGTATCTTTCATTTTGGATGTGTGTCTTATATCTACATAATATGAACCTTAAATGAGAAATTGGATCCTAAAATTGTGAGATGTGATACTAAACAAGCTCATCAAGAGATCTTCGAT